TATATATATATATATATATATATATATATATATATATATATATATATATATATATATATATATATATATATATATATATATATATATATATATATATATATATATATATATATATATATATATATATATATATATTTATATCCTCGGTTATAGAAATAACTGAGAGCTAAGTAACGCCTTTAAAAAAAACAAATATCCAGTTGTTGGGGATCGAACCCACTATAGGTTCAACTTTTTTCTCCTTGATTATTCTAAAATCGAGGGATAAAGTGGAAACTTTTTATGTTGTCCTTCTTACCTCAGTTTTATAACCGAGGTAAAGAGGAGAGTTTTTCTAATAGTGAACTTAGTCCTCAATAAAGCATTCAACATGAAGATAAATAAAGTAAAGAGGTATTCATGTTCAAGATAATATAAGACTTCTAAGGTATGATGAGGATAGTGATGTCAAAATTCATGGAGAACGAAGGTGGTCAAGATGATTTGGAGTCTAGCTCGGAGTACAACTCCGATGAGGAGGAAGATAAAGTCGGCGGGTTCGATACATAAAGCTCATTACTTAGATGTTCACAAAACAATAGTAATGATGGAGACTCGGGGAATGAGGAAAATATAAAAAAGGCTATGGTGATTTTAAGAGAAAATAAATAGGACAATCATTGCCTAAAGGTATGGAAGGTGTTAGGAGAGGAGGATTCAAATTAATGAAGTATAACCAATAGGAAAAAGGAGAGAGAAAGTAAAATGATCCAATGGATATTGTTAAAATAAAAATGAAATAAGGGTAAGTCAACGCATAAGAGAAATATTGAAGCGAACAAGAAGTATTGTGAGAATAAGAGATACAACTTATATGGTTCAAAGAGCCAAATAGAAGCAATGAGCCCTAAGGAATAAGGGGTTTACAAAAGATGAGTAAGGTCACAGACATCAACCATTAATAAGCAGGTAATCCAAATACAACTCAAGGCCCAAGTTAACAAACATCAAACTCGAAAGAAGACCCATCTCAAAAAGTTGAGGAATCATCTAGTGGAACGTTCTTACTATGCCTCACTACTTCCACCAAAACCTAAATCAACCAAAAACAAGATATTCTCAAGCAAAGATACTCACTTATCCTTATATTCGACAACGGGTTCAAATGTTATCCAAGGCAACAAAAGATTTTGGGCAAACATTGAGAAATATAAGGTTTGTAATCCATTGAAATATTTGGAAAGGAGAGCATTGAAGTATATGAATAAGCAATTAGAGTAATAGAAGAAAGAGGCCAAGAAGGGAAGAAAAGAAAGGAGGTGAAAAACAAGAAGACTCAATGAATATTATATCTTACAATATTATAGGGTGAATAAATCCTTTAAAAAGGATGATATAACAAATTCTCATGAAGGACAAGGCAGACATGTGTTTACTACAAGAGATAAAAGTGCAAGTAATGAATGATGAACTAGTGTAGAGACTATGGGGAAATAAGGAGGTTGATTGGTCAAAAAAGGGGCTTAGGGTTAATCCATATGCATGTTAATTGTGTGGAAGGTAGGAACAATCTCACCACTCTTTTGTTTCTTTGGTGAATGATATGTAGGAATCAGTGCATAATGGAAAAAAAGTAAGATATGTTGCTTTGTCAATATCGATTTTTCGTGTAACGTTGATATGGATGGAAGAATGTGGATAAAACTGATAGAATTAAAAGAGAAGTTTGGGCATGTGGAATGGTGTATAGGTGGGGATTTATACTCCATTGGAAATAGAAAGGAAGGGAAAGGTAGTAGTAAAAATTTGAGGAAAAGAGAGATCTATGAGTAATTTTGAAGGGAGTTCAATTGGTAGGCTTGGTAGGTTCTTATTAACACAAAATCTGATAGAAACTTGAAAAAGAGTAGGCCATGAAATAGGATCTAGAGACATATCTGATCACTGTTTAGTATGGGTAAAAGCCAATAATGTAAACTAGTAAGTGCGGACCTTCTAGAGTAAATAATTATTGGTTTGGACATAAGGAATTTAATCAATATGTAGGGAGGGAGTGGAAGTCTTTTAAGGTAAATAGGAAAAAGGATTATGTGATGAAAGAAAAGCTCAAGATGTCAAGGAATATGAGTGGATTGATTTAAAGGTGGAAGATGGTATAAGGGATACGAATGAACTAGATTTTATCATGTGTGACAACAAACAAACAGTCAATCCTAATTTGGTGGAAAAAGTAAAGAAGTAACTAACTCTATATCGAAGAATTTACAATATAAGTATATCATACTTGGATAGAAATCAAGGTATAAATGGGTCAGGGAGGAGGATTTAACCACTACATACTTTTTCTCTATGATGAAGTCAAGAAGAAGGAATGCAATAATTTCAATTGAAACTAGCAAGGGTAGAGTAGAGGAGGTGGAAGAAGTGAGAGGGGAAGTGAAGAGGTTCTTAGGGGAAAGATTCAAAGAGGACAATAATAATATACCTGAGTTGGAATGTGATCAGTCACCATTTATGTTATGTAATCATCATGGAACCATCTGGTAATCATCAATAAGTCAGGTAAACTGTACGAAGTTACATGTGTTTTAGTCGTAATTAGGGTTTGTCGTAGTGTGTTGTAGATTTTGAGTTTCTTAAGGATATTTTATGCTTTTGGATATTTTTTAGGTCAAATACAGGTTTGGAAGCTCAAATGATCAAATGCGAGATGTAAGATCGAGCCGGAGCGAGAAAGCAGAAGGAAAATGAAAAATTGAAGACTCTGCTGTCCATATGCGTAATGCCTTAGCTGTTACGCGTATGAACCTCACCTGTACGCGTAGGATACATGAATCAATAGAGAAAGGGAAAAATCCACCCTCTGCTGATACGCGTAACAAGCAAGTTATTACGCGTATCAGTTTGCGCAGATGGCCTGAAAAGTGGTTTTGCGTATGATACTTGGGGTGTTCTTTAGGGAATTACGCGTAATGAGGCCCAAAAATTGTCAAAGCCTAGAAGCTGACTATTTACTCCCAGAATGCAATTTTTCCGAGGGTGAACACTAGGGAGAGAGAAAAAACGCGTTTTAGAGGTTGGAGAACTGAGATTTTTGCCACGGAGTCATATTTTCAAGAGTTTTCGCAATTGAAGATTGATTTCCTTTGATTTTCTATAATGACAACTTCTTTTCTTTCGTTTTCCTTTATGGTTATGAGCAGCTAAACCCCCCATTGCTAGGGGGTAACCTTGATTTTGAATGTAATGAATGCTTTTTAGTAATGCAATGACTATTTTCTTTTCATAAGTTTTGAGTTGTTCTTATCTGTTCTTAATGCTTTACCCGTCGGACAAACGGATTCTGATCTTTTATAAATAATTTTAGCTGGACAATGATTGTTTGTTGATATGAATAAGTACATGTGATAATAAATGTTACCTAGAACTAGGGATGTTTTATCATAACCGAACATTCTCGATAATCGAATGCTTGAACATAACGATAATTATCTATGGACATAGTAATTAGGTTATGTGTTTAAAGATCTTTTCACTAAGGACTTAGGATTGGATACCCTAAAGAACCGATAATTGAATATTGTGAGTTAGGTCATTGTGTTGATGAATTGAATTTGTTACAGGAAAAATCATTCACCAAATCCTAGCAATCTACTCATCTCTGTTTTCACTTACTAATTTATTTGCTCTATTTTCCTTGTAATGAACTTTTTACTATTTGTAACAACCCTCATAAAAAACCCCTCAAAGTATTTTTGTTCAATTGAGTTATAAAAAGCTTGTGTTTCCTACGCAATCCCTGAGATTGATACTGGGGAAAAATCCCATATTTTAACTACAACGGGCGAAATAGTACATTTGTTATTTTCTCGATTAGAAGGAATGGAATTTAAGAGGCTATAAGTGGAGGAAAGTACTAGACTAGAGGAAGATTTCACTTATGAAGAGATTAAAGGAGCAGTGTTGATAATGATGGTGACAAGAGCCTAGAATCAGGCGGATTTAATTTTGGTTTTTTTAAAGAAGTGCAAGAAAAATTTGAAAGAAAACTTAATGGAGTTTATTAATTAGCTATACAATAATGCAAAAATTCCTAAGGCCATCACTACCTCTTTTCTAGAATTTGTACCAAAGATTGAAAATCCACAAGAATTGGGTGACTATATACTAATTTGCTTAGTTGGTTGCCTTTATAAGATAATATATAAGATCTTAGCCTCAAGATTAAAGAGGGTCCTGGAAAAATTAGTTTCAAATAGCCAGACATCATTTGTGCTAAGAAGAGAAATATTACATGAAGTTGTGGTGGTAAATAGAATTATAGACTTGGAAAATAGGGATAAGAGGGAGTGCTTGATGCTAAAGATGGACTTTGAAAAATCCTAGAATTGTGTATCTTAGAACTACCTGAGATACATGTTGAGAAGAGTAAGGTTTAAAGAAAAATGGATGTTATGGATGGAGGCTTGCATATTTGATAGTAACTTATCAATATTGGTGAATGGAAGTCCAACCAAAAAGGCAATGGGACCCATTATCCCCATTTTTATTTACAATATTAACTTAGAGGCTCGAAAGAATTGTGGAGAAACACCAAATATGGGAGAGTTTAAGATATTCTAAGTTAATGAACAAGTGGAATACCAAATACTCTAGTTTGAAGATGATACAATCTCAGTAGGGGAAGACTCATGGAAACTTCTACAAAATTAAACTCTATGGATTAAATGTAAAGGAGAATTTCATGCAGGAATTCTCCCATTTCCTATGATTTTGCTTGGACACCATTCTTTTTAACTTTCTTGGTATACCAATAGGATCAAACACTAGAAGAATCACCATATTGAGACCAATAGTATAAACAAGAACCCAAGAGGAAACAATAGGTCAGAGTGAAGAATTAATAGCAATCCTAACCGAAGTAGCACCTAGAAGAAATGTAAGAGATAAGCATGTTTCGAATAATCTATGTTACATTACATAAAATAAAATTATGATAGACAACAAGTTTGTCAATTTTCCTAGTCATCTATAGTACCAAACAAGGCTTCGATAACATCCATATCAAATTCCTGCATTCATACATTAAATCTCATATTAGAAATATTTCCAAAATTTATTTTCATTAAATAAACATTAATTTTAACAAGTTAACTTACCAAATCATTGGTTGAGGTACTTTCTTTAGAGTCTTTCTTCCATGTGAATCTATCACATGATCCCTCATTTGAAATTCCATTATTTTCTTGCAACTAGATATCGCATAATAAAATCATTATATTGATTCTTTTGAGATAACCTAGAGAAAATCTTCAATTCTAAATCTATAATAAAATATATTATAAAAAGTAATAAAACTAAACTTTAATTTGAGAGTGTAATAAAAAAACAAGACTTGCCTTTTTAGAACTTTCGTTTGAATTTATTGGTGACTCATTAATCACATATGATGTGATTTCAGCTTGAGGAGAGATGTCATCACCACCTTTGAATAACTTGTGAAGCAAGAAATGATTAATTTAATTTTGTTATAAAAAAAAATACATGTAGACATAGGTTAATTAAATTTTGAATACTTTATACCTTATTAACAAGATTCATGTCATTGAAGTTCAAGTCTCTTGTTAAAAGATTTGAAGACGAAGTTGTTGGAGAAATCGTCCATCCTTGTCCACCTCCATACGACAAAAAGTTACTAGAACTAGAGCCACCGTCATATAATAGATTTTTTTCAGGATAAAATGAATTATTCCAAGAGTGTATTCCAACCAAATTTTGGTCATAGATACTATTGTTCGATCCAACATTGGTTTCCGAATTTGATTTTTTAAGACTCATTTGATCCAAATATTGAAGATTCAACCCTTGTTGTGCATAAGGGAAATTATCAACTTGGTGTGATGGAAGTCTATTGAAAAGGTTAAAATCATTGTTTTGATTTTCAGTTTGATATGATAATGTTTGCAAATATTCAAAAGTCGGGGTGTGAAATTTGTTTGTTCTTTTTTCTTGCATAGTTTTTATTAATGGCACGGGAAGATTTGATGCAAATGTAGACCTTAATGCTCTTTGTGATATTCCTCCCGTCATTCCTTTCTCTTCAACATCATGCAAAAACTTGCGATATTTCTGTTAGTGTTACATGTTCATTAACCAAAGCATTAAAACTTTTAACATATATTATAAAAAAAGAGATATTAACAAAAATTAAAGTAAAAAAAATGAAATTGATTATCAGATTTAATATCTCTAACACTTATAAGAAGAGTTTAAATCATAAGATTTTAATAGATCCAATTATTTTCATTTATTTATGAAAATTAATTGTATTAAAATAACTTATATTAGAGTAGAAATATAAAGATTATGTTAAATCACTTAATTGATAGTTGTACATAAACATTATACAATGTCACGAATTCGAACTAGAAATTTCACCTACCAAACTATTTAGAAAAATAGAAGCATAAAGAATTATATGTATGAAAACATTTTAAAACAAATACTTTATATGCAATTTATATTATAAAATTCCTATATCAAAATTCACCAACATTTTTAGAACATCTATCTTACAATAATTAAATATGATTAAAATAAAAAGGATCACATACAAATATAACATTATTAATAAGATTCAACCTATTATATAAATATATGAATTAAATTAAGAAGAAAAACCTGTAAGTGACTAGCTACATTTTCCCTGGTTAGGTTTGGTACATTCATGATCTTCAAAATTTTCTTTGGACCAACCTCTGAATAAAAGAACAAATAAACACAAGTAAATTCATAATATTTTATTATAAAATATAATAAAAACATCAACAAGTTAATACTAAAGTATTAAAACTTCAAAAATATGAAATATATAAAAAAAAAAAAAAATTAAAATTTGTATGAGACTTACTTTCAAATCCAATTTGCTTAATAGCAAACATAAATAGATTATGAAGTTCAGGAGTCCAAACAAGCTTTGTTTTCTTAGCAACTTGAAAACCTCCTTCTACTTGATCTTTGTCATTTATCTTTCTTTTTGCATGCTTATTTTTACTCTTTTGTTCTTCACTTTTTGCAAAAAGTTTTTCTTCTTTTGCATCCATAACATATTTCCAAATGTTTTTGAAGTCTTCATCACAAAAGGGTTTTGCAATAAAATGTGCTGCTCCATTTTTTAAAATATTGGTGATTAAATTTTCTTCTTTTTCTTCAGACATCACTATTTAAAACAAGAAGAAAAAAAAGTCAATTATTTATACATATTATATACTTATAATTTTTCAAATATTGCATAAAAAAATTGTAAGGTTGATTTAATGTGTGAGGATGGTACTTACTTATTATAGGTATATGGAATTCATTTCTAATTAGCTTTAGAAAATCAAAGGCATTCATTCCTAATAAGTTGAACTCTGAAATTATGATATCAAATAAGCCTTTGGATCCTTGGAGAATTTTCAAAGCTTGATGAGCATCTTTGGCAGTTTGAACTGAAATTAAAACAAAAGAAATAAGTTCATTAATAATAAAATGAATTATAACAAATCTAATAATGTATCAAAGGAGAATAAGATGTTTTTAAAGTTGAAATATAAAGAATTATTACGGTATTTTGGTGGTGGTTATCGCTTGTTTCGAAAAACAATTGTTAATTTGTAATTACTACGAGTGGATTGGAGTTTTCCTAATACTTCAGTTTAGTGATTTCGTTTGCTTATAAAAGTACAAATAAAACGCCTGCACATTATCTAAAAAAGATCGCGTTTAATTTGTTATTAAACAGTGACTCATAAAATATTTGTTGCGGGTGACAAAATAGACACGTGTTGTTTCTTTTGTCCGCAATTTTTGTAAAAAAACAAATATTTAGACTTCAATTCTCTAATGTGTTTATTTTGTCCCACCTTATTTTTCTTAGACTTTTACAAACGCATATATTAGTATAAAATTTTATATTTTTAAATTTTTAAAAAAATATAATCTATATGGGCCCGTCCGATTCTCCTCAATTATTTGCTGCAAAAAATAAAATTTTAAATTTACACTCTTAATTATATTTATTCTATCTAATTTTTATTTGAATTTTTAAAGAGCGGATATATCATATTGTCAGTGTCTTTGTTTACGTATGTTAAATCTTAATAATCAGACTCTCTTAAAAATTAAGGAAGGAGATATATATTTTTTTATATTTTCTTTTGAATTTCAACTAAATTTTCATATGTTTTGAAAAATATACAAATCCATAAAATCAGAATAGAAAAAAATGCTTAAATTATGCAATGGTTAAATAAACAAGACACACATACCTTTGTATTTCCATGCGATGAGTAAATTGGCAACTAAAGCCAAAGAAACAGCATCATGATCCACAATCAAAACCTTGATATCAAAATTTTCACCATTCATTTTCACAATAAAATTATTCTTTTTTCTACTAAAACACTCTAAGATTTTCTTACAAGTGTTACTCAATAAAAATATAGTCACATTGGGGGAATATATATACATTTGAAGAGAATGAATCCCTTATTTTGATTGGTTTGTATTTTTTTTTATTTCAAACTAAAAAGTTATTTAAATATAAAAAATATATATAAAATAAAAATAATTCAAAAAGGAAAAAGTAAAAAATATAATTAATGATAAAGAGGCTTTTTATCACATTCTGATAACTATGGGCTGTGATACAGAGTGCTCCTTCTATATAAAATTGTCTTATCTTTCATTTCTCTTAATTCTTGACACTTTAAATTAATTAAATAATAATGAGCACTCAATAACATGATGTAATATTCAACAATATATTTATTATTTATTTTCACTTTTATTAAAAGGTTGATCAAAGTCAATTTCTCAATTTTTATATATATTTTTTCATACTTAGTCAACTAGTTACAATCAAAATCAAATGTATATATGATTTTAGATTTTTTTAATAATAATTTAACAGTTATAATTGATTAAGTGTATAAATAAATTTATAACACATTATTGATATTTTGTGTCATATACAGACTATAACTATTTTTAATGATTTAAATATTGTTATTATTTTGACAATATCATTTAAATATTATATTTCTTTGTACTTTGTACAATAAATTCTTGAATGTTAAAGCTTTAAGAACTCGTTTATAACAGCTGTAAAATCATGAGTATTTTATTCATAGTTCAAATTTAAATGGATAACTCTAAAATGTTCATTACTTTCATTATTATTTATTCCATTTAGAAATTAGAACTATCGATGAACCAATAAAAAAGACTTTCATCGTTACAGTGATACATAGCTATGATGCAATAGTAATGAATGAACTTGTAAGATTGACACTTCAACGCTCAAATCAGTTATTAAATCAAAAAGTGATAGATCGAGTTATAGTGAAAAATATACTCAGATTGATGCGCGATAACGTACATAAAAATATATGATGGGTGGTTAAAAAAACCCTTATTTTTCCTCCAAGACTCGAGAGAGAGTTTGTCTGATTATATCAAATTGTTAGTATCCTTTAGAAATGAGCTTCTTTGAACTTTCATAACCTAAGTTGTGTCATCTCAAAGTAATAATTGAGTCCTTTCTTTATTGGGCCTTGCAAATGGTTCAAAATATTATTAATGAAAATTTTTCTTGAGAATTTCTTAATGCACTATATATGTTACTTATACACAACACCAAAATACTAAAATGCTCCACAAATTTCGGAGATGCATTTTCGGACACACCATGCATCAACGTTATGACGCATCAAACGTGTTTCACCCGACATGAATAATACAAAAAGTTTCGGAGATGCAGCTCCGGGTGTTTCCAACAAATATAATGTTAGTTGACCAGCATAGTGGACATTCTAGAGATGCATCTTCGGAAATTTAGGGCAAGATTTTGAAATTTGTTATCACCTTTGCATGTCAGATGTTTTCGGAGAAGTATCTCTGGAATAATTTGATAAAACACAAAGTTGCATGATCACACAACCATGTTTGTTTTTCACTCAAAATCCTCACAAAAAACTCTTCCATTCTCAATCCACATTTTCACTTCAAAGAGAGCAAAAGAAGTTGGAATTTTAAGTAAAGATCATTTATTTCAAGCCTCATTGCTCACATTAATCTTGTTTTTTGTCTAAAAACTAGCGTTTATTCTAGAGATACATTTCTGAAACGAGTATGAACTTACCCACAAATGCTTTTTCGGTATCTGTCTGTGTTTATTTTTTCAACTCTGCTTACAACATTAACGGTTATTTACTATTTTGTGGTAATTGTTTTCATTAGATATGGTACACCCCAATGTTTTCCCCAAATAAGTTGTGTCTCCCACTATTAAAGGTGTTGTTGTGAATGGTAGATATTGGCAACCAATTTAAAAATTAGCAAGAGTTTGAATCTCGTGATCACATGCTTTACTGGATTCGTATGGAGGCCTCAAAACTAAGATTTTGTGTGGTTATCGGAAGGTTCGATAATGGTTCAGATAGAAGATATGCTTTTTGAAGCTAGTGGGAGTATACCTGAGTGAATCACACACTCAAAGATACAACATAGTCACCATCAAACTTTATTTAGTCCCAAAGGACATGAAAAATATCGATAAAATCCAAAGGGAAGAGAAACGGATAAGGGGGTCGGTTATGTGAGAGGAAGAGACTAGCACCTCACGCATCTGTCGTAGTCGACGGGAACCGTTCTTCTTACTTCTAGGCTTGGATGGGTTATCTATCTAAAGACTTCTAGCTAAAGAGGGAAAAGAAAGAGAAAGAGAGAATGAGGAAAAGAGAAAGAAGTGCTCGCGGAGGATTAGGGCCCTCGTGCCTACGTATCCTCATAGTGCAATGAGAAATTCAGAGCTCTATAGTTCAGGGAACTAGGACGGAGAAAGAATGAGAAAATGGTGTCAAAATCAAGAGTGAAAGTAAAAGTAAAGAATCCACTAGGGAGGACAACAAAATGGTGTCGAAACTAAGAAAGAAAGGCAAAGGAGAACTCCATTGGGGAAAGTAAAAAGACGGTGTCAAAACCAAGAGAAAAGAGAAAAGGAAATGATTAGAAAAGGTAAGATTCAAAGGAAATTCGATATATTAACAGACAGACTGTGATTAACCGAAGAAAGAGTATATTACAACTCTGAGGGGAGCAAAAGGTTGGTGAGAACAAACGAACTGTGATTAAAAAGAAGGAAAAAGGTTAACTTTGTGGAGAAAGAAAATGGTTTTAACAGACTGTGGTCAACCAAAAAAAAAGAGTACCGAACCAAGAGAAGGCATTTGACTCATTTGGGGATTTGGTGTATTAACTGATAAACAGTGATTAACAAAAAAGAGAAAGGAATTGGTTTCTAACCGACATAAGGTGATTGAACAGAAGAATGCGTATTAACCAAGAAGTGCTTAGCTCAACAAGGAGAGGAGAAATTGGTTTAACAGGCGGACTGTGATCAACCAAAAGGACGGATGTAGAACCAAGTGAAAGTTGTAACCCAAAGGACGGGTGTGGAACCAAGCAAAGGTTGTGACCCAAAGGACATGTGTGGAGCCAATCAAAGGTTGTGGAGAAAAATCTGGTACACTGATTGAACAAGCAGTACTCGACCAAGGAGAGGGTATTTGAACTAAAAGAAAGTTACTAACCCAAAGGAGCATGTATTTAAACCAAAAAAAGGTTGCTAACTAGTGGGGATTTGGTAATTTAACAGAGGGACTGTAATTAACCGAAGACATGAGTGATTAACCAAGAGAAGGTGATTAACCAAGAGACTCAGTATGTTAACAGACGGACTGTGGTTAACTGAGAAGATGAGAAATTGGTGTTTTAACTTATAGGAAGTGGTTAACCAATCAGACAAGGAGAGAGAACCAAGAGAAGGTTGCAAAATCAGCTAAGGATTTGGTGTTTAACAGACGGACTATGATTAACCAAAGAAAAGGGGTGCAACTTCACTAGGGAAAAAAGAGAATTGGTTTTAACAGGCGGAATGTTATTAACCAAATAAACGGGTGATGAACTCAATAGAAAGTGACTAACCCAAGAAAACCATGATCTTGAACCAAGGAAATGGTGATTGAGGAAAGACTGGAGGGAAGGAATGATCAAGGATAAAACTCAAGAGACACTACGGTCCGAGGATAGAGGTGACTATTCTCAGTTGGAGGACTAGATGCCCTTACCAAAAATAGTCAGGATGAGGGTAGGAAAAAGGCTAGTCCAAAAGACGATTTCTCTTTGCCTCATATTGACACACTTGTCGACAATACAGCTAGTTTTGCAGTTTTCTCATTCATGGATGGTTTCTCCGGTTATAATCAGATCAAGATGGATCCCGCCGACAGAGAAAAGACTACATTCATCACTCCTTGGGGAACCTTCTGTTACAAAGTGATGCCCTTCGGTTTGAAGAACGCAGGGGAAACCTATCAACGTGTTATGACGGCTCTCTTTCATGACATGATGCACAAAGAGATCAAAGTGTATGTGGATGATATGATTTCCAAATCTCATAACAAAGAGGAACATTTGATTCATCTGTTGAAACTGTTTGAACGACTCCGAAAATATCAGTTGAAACTATATCCTGCTAAGTGTACTTTTGGTGTCAGATCTGGAAAGCTACTTGGTTTCATCGTCAGCCAACGAGGGATCGAGGTAGATCCTGATAAAGTCCGAGCCATTCAAGACAAGCCGGCTCCGCAGACCGAAACCTAAGTCAGAGGTTTTCTTGGACTTTTGAACTACATCTCCAGGTTTATATCTAACCTGACTGCTACTTGTGAGCCGATATTCAAGTTGCTTTGCAAGGGGCAGACCGTTGATTGGAATCCTGCTTGTCAGCAGGCTTTTGAAAAGATCAAGGACTACTTACAAAAGCCTCATATCTTGATGCCTCCTGTTCATGGAAGACCGTTATTTATGTACCTCACTGTTCTTGAGAAGTCTATGGGTTGTGTACTTGGACAACACGATGAGACCGGACGAAAGGAACACGCAATATACTATCTAAGTAAGAAGTTTACTGATTGTGAGAACTGATACTCACTTTTGGAGAAGACTTGTTGTGCGCTAGCATGGGCTGCTAGGCGTCTCAGGCAATATATGATGTGTCATACTACCTTGTTGATTTCGAAGATGGACCCAATAAAGTACATTTTCGAAAAGCCTGCTCAGACAGGGAGGCTTGCTCGTTGGCACATGTTGTTATCAGAATATGACATCTAGTACGTACCTTAGAAAACTATCAAAGGAAGTATCTTGCCATATTACCTTGCAGATCAACCAGTCGAAGATTATGAGCCTCTTAAGTTTGACTTTCCAGACGAAGACATTATGTGGGTAAATGATTTCGAAGAGCCAGAGCCAGAGGCCGAGGAAGGTCCCGAACCGGGTCTCTGGTGGAAGATGATGTTTGATGG